CTCAATCTCTTTAAGGAGAATTTTCTGCTTCTTTTATGGGAGTTCAAAGAACACGAGACTAGAACGAATAAATCTGCTGAACTAATGTTTTTTCTCGTATTCTTGGATATTCCAGGATTTGCCCTGCTTCATGTGGGATTATGTTTTGATGCAAATCTTTTCAGAACATTTTATATTCTTCATTGAAAACGTCGTTCGATTGATTTTTAAAAATCTTTTTACGTTTGAGCCTCCACGTGTAATAAAAGTTTGTAAACGTGATTTATAGAGTAGTATGCCCGATTCACAACGGTACCCTTGGTTAAGGTTATGGATGAACAAGATCCTTATTTGTCTCTCTAAAAGTAAATGATTTTCAATTGTTGTTTCTTTATATTTAATATAAAAATTTATAAATATTTGTCTACATTCCTTCCACAAACTGCAGTACACTTTTTGCAAAACAAATATGGAGGTTCACAGAATATCTTTATCGGATTTGACTGAAAATATAAAAAGGGGGCGTGTCTGTGGTGTGAAGGGTTTTTAAATAAAGGCGTGTCAAATTTGACAAAATGGCGGAATCGGAAGCAAAGATGGGCACTAGTTCCGGTTCTCTCATTACACGTGATAAGAACACGTGCTGTTGGTGCAGTGCACACGTGACCTAGACACTCTACATCATCAGAGTGTATACTGACTCATGGGTCCGGAGACAATTATTACTTGTACTCCTGGTTATTCCGCCGGGTGTCTCAAACAAAATTAGTGCAACAAAGCTTTGGTTGAAATAACCTGCACCCGTTTCCAACATACATTAGACCATATTTGGTGTATAGAAGATTTACTTTTAAAACCTATGATGTAAGTACTTTAATTTTGATCATGTTTATTTTATTTTGTGACACAATGTACTCTACTTTGAGTTTTATGTATTATGAATAGACGTCGTTAATGAGACTTCATAACCGCGACAAGAGAAGGGTCCCAGAGTTAGGAGAAGGATCCCAGGCTCAGTAAAAGAATCCCGGATTCATAAGGATCACAGAGTCAGAAGAAGGATCCCGGAGTCTGGGAAATATCCTGAAGTCAGGAGAAGGATCTCTAAAGGAGGATCCCGGTGTGTAAAAAGAAGGATCTCTAAAGAAGGATCCCGGAATTAAGACAATGATCTCTAAAGGAGGATCCCAGAGTATGTGAAGAGGATCAAGATGATGATCTAATTATCTGAATGATGGTTAATGAGATGTACCATTCCATCAATTATACTGTAAAGTAATCATAACAACACAAATTAGGGACAGTTTACCACAGAGATTAGAGAATATATCATAGATCCTAATATTTAAGCTAACCACAGAATACAACATATATATATATACACATATATAATGTACACAGAGATTAGTGAATATATCATAGATCCTAATATTTAAGCTAACCACAGTATACAATATATATATATAGATATATACACAGAGATTAGAGAATATATAATAGATCCTAATATTAAAGCTAACCACAATATACAATATATATATAAATACAGATATAATATACACAGATATCTATCTATCTATCTATCTATCTATCTATCTATCTATCTATCCATCTATCCATCTATCTATCAATCTATCTATCCATCTATCCATCTATCTATCAATCTATCTATATATTTATCTATCTATCTTTCTATCTATAAATAGACATATGACAGGTTGATATCTGATAGACTTCGCGGCAACCAGTGACTTTAACCCCTCCCCCCCCCCCCCCTTTTACTTGAAAAACAATATAATTGCTCGGGACTGGAATGTGCCCAAATCTAGGAAAATAATATAAAAATATTCAGAAACAATGTCAACGTGTTTATCCCCTGTCAGCTTGATAACAAGATAATAATTAAATTTTTCCCAAAATGACAATTTTAATTTTCAGTAACTTTTTCTTTCTCAGACTTATTTTAGATATTTACTCACAGTACGTTGACTGTACATTGTATTGTCAGACTATTTAGTTTATGTACACTGAAACATATAGAATATCTAATTCTATGTACACTTTACAGAAAGAATATTTATTTTTATGTGCACTGTACACTGTACAGCTGTAATAATTATTTCTTTGTACACTGTACAGATAGAATCTAGTTCTATGTACACTGTTGTAAACTGTAAAGCTAGAACATTTATTTCTATCTACACTGTACACTGTGCACTGTACATGCAGTGTGAAAGTACAGCAAACAAGATTCTAAAGAACTTGTAAAAAGAGTTCCTGGTATATTTTGAAAGATGAAAATTGTCCAGCATGATAATGAAAGGAATCCAGTATGGTTCAGTTGAAACAGGTTTAACATGGAAATTAATTCTATTTTCGGAAACCATGTAGGTATGTCACATTAAAAATCATGAAAAAATTATTTTTACCCCACTAGGCTTAATACTACAACATTTTTCATTAAAATGATATTACATTCCTTCAACCAAAGGAAAGTTAATTGCAGTTGTGAATACTCTGCGTACATATTGAAACTAGCTCTCTCTAGGCGGAGTTTGTAAACAATAATAGATGCATCAGTGTTCGTATAGTATCTGAGGAGGTTAAAAGCATTAAATTTTGATAAATTTGATAGTTCACATAAGGCTTTCCTATGACCAGAATATTTCATTGATTTTTTTATGTGAAAGATGGATCCCATGTCAGGCTTCGACATCCATCTTGTGTTTACATTACCGCCCAGAAACAGAGATATAAAAAGCCTAAAAAAATTATGTAAACGTCAATGCGGGAGGGGGGCGATGGTTTTTTACCCCCTTCTGTTAATATCCTCCACCCCTCCGAACCCCTCTTCCGTCAATCCTTTTTAAAAAGAGCAACCTCTCGTGATTATATTTTTCTTTTCCAGAGTAGGTTAGGTTTATAATAGATATTTAGATAGTCACGAAACATTTGATAAGAAATTACTAATATTTCGAATTATTCTATTCTATCTCAAAATCCCAATATGTATGGCACACTGGACTAGACAGAAGTCAAATTTATGCAACATAACTGGTATGACTTTGTGACCACATAGTTTCTCTAGTTTTGATTTTACACAAAAGTACTAGAAAAGCAAATACAAGTGATAAAAATATATAATATAAATTCAAAACATGTTTGTTCTTTTAATAGTAATAGCTCTGTTTAAGAGGAGTTATGATTGAAAACATATACTCGTAAGACTTCAATTTAAAATAAAATATACTTTAATTTGACGTGATGGATTATCATGTAGATGCAAGTTGAATTTGAAAAAGAATCTTATCTGTAGAATATTCCTGGTTTAATGGAAGGTTTGGAGTCATTACTTCCAGTTCTAACCTGACAGTACTCGCAAACTCAAAAAGATTTCCAAACTGATTTTGAAAAAGTAAAAATATTTAGAGGTATTAATTATTACAGTGGTTTAAACATTT